AATGTTTTAATAATTGTCTATTTGTTTACACTTCTTTGAGAGGATGAGTAGGGTCCCTATGCCTGACAGAGCAAGCATACTTAACTGTGTTTTTAACAATCTGGAACTGAGAGATGGTGATGAGGCAATGATGAGTTGCAGCAAAGTCTCTTTTTAAAATGTCATATTGAAACAAACCTTTGCAGTGTGGTTAGCCATGGTTATATATTTATAAAAAAAAAAAAAGCCCTTCTGCAATGGTATTGTGATAAACATCAGCCTAAGACAGACCAAAGCCAGTAGCACTGTTCTTGCACAGCTGCTGATTCTACAAACACACAAAATTACATCTTGATGACATTTTTAATCTCACCTATTCACTAGTTGCTTCCTGTTAGCTCACCCTGAGTCACATTCTTCCCAAAATACTAATAATTAACAAGCTCTAATTTGTCTCATTAATAGAGTATTGAACTTTAAGAAAGTAGCGTGACTGGCTCCAAACCAAGCTAACGGGCACTAGATTTTTTAAAAAATGTGCTTGAATTTCAAATGTAGGACTCTATCCAGTATCAAGTCACCTCGATCTTTCCCAGGTTTCAAGTTTCCTGGGTTGCAAAACCATGTGCCCCAATTCTGAGCTGCATCCCTATTTATGTCTCTCGTGAATTCTGTACCAAGGTTTCAGTGAAAGTTAGAACAGCCCCAGTAGATGAAGAGTGCCAAACACTGCTGGGAGAAGATCAAGTCACTTAGTCTGCTACAGTAGAGCTTGGGAATACTTATCATGGTGGGGCAGAAGAGACCTGTCCTTTCGCTGATTAATTGGACTTTTTTCTGGGACAGAAAACACTAATGCCAGCCTTTCGCATACTTGGAGCATATATTTCTTTGCCTTCTCCAAGAGCAAGAGCATCTGTGAGGAACCAGATAGAATCCTCTTGACTCTGAGGAAAGGGAAACAAAGTCTTCTCTGACTCAATGATCAGATGTAGAAGATGATAAAGATGACTGGTTAGCAGTTGGGATAAGGAGTGCTTATTCCTAGCAAAATATATATTGTTGTTTTCCGGAGCCTTAACAAAACAAAGTACAAAACTTAGGGCCTGGTCCAAAGCTATCAAACTCAGTGGAAAGAATCCCAATGACTTCAATGGGCTTTAGATCAGATCTTAAATTGGAACCCATGCACCATTATTATTAGCATTGGACTGGCCATTAACATCACTCCCAGCCAGGAATAGCTGGTTCTGTAATCAAATTCCCCCTTCTGCAGGGAACTGAAAGATATGTGCTGCCATTACTGTTGCTGTGAGAGTTTGAACTGATAGCCAATGAGGGTAGAAGTGCTTTGATTCCAGGAAGTTCAAATAAGAGAAGTTAATATAGGAAAGCTAATCAATAAGGCAAGCAATTTACTCTGGTAAATTTTCATGCAGCCTCAAATACCATAGCACTAACAAAGCCAATCAATGTGTTATGGTGTCTCTGGCTGGCCTGTACAGAACTGAGTTTTTTTAAACCACATGTAAAAGTTTATCTTGGATTTCAAGTATTTATTGACAAATTTCCTCTTCTCCTCAGGTCACGCACACCAGATGCCAGCACTTTGTGCCAACTGAGCCTCTGCTGAGAGAATAAATGCTGGGGGAGGTCTTGAAATGCTTTGTGCAACAGACATGGACAAGAACCAATGAGTCACCAATACCTGTTGAAAGACTGCAACTGAAGACACAGTTTTGCATTAATCTTAAAATAGTTCCTTTTCAGCTACTGTGCCCCGTAGAAAATTGATTATGCACACATTACAAAATGAACAAGGTCTCAGAATGCAGTGTCTGGAAGATGACAGTTGATTAATCCTTTAAATAAATGAGTTGGATAATGTGATGGATACATGGCATTCAAACCTGGTATACGAGTTTTTAGAATACTGTACTATGAATACCAAATGAGTGGCCCATTTCTTATTAAACTTATCAACAGGGAGTGTTATCACTTATTAGAGCCAGATATTGGAAGTTAAGACTCCCTGGTTCTGTTCTGGGCTCAGCTGCTGACTTTGTGTGTTACTTTGCACAGATTACCTAACTCTCTGCCTCAGTTACCTCATTTGTAAATTGGAAGTGATAGTACCTACTTCACAGGGATGTCGTGAGACTCAATAGTTTGCACTTAGCGTGTTTCATCTGAGACTGGCAAGGAAAATTTTCAAAGAATAATTTTAAAAAAATCCGTAATTATGGGGAAAGCTCTTTGACCATAGTTGAAATAGCAATTATTATTACAACATTCCCGCTGCTGTTGGTTCAGCTTCATAAGCATCAGGCTGGAAGAGAGAGGCTATCTGCAGGATGCTGTAACTATTAATCTCTGGGTCAAAGTGGTACTGCTGGTGCTGTGAGTCACAATACAGATGACTGATTAATTGTAATATGAACGGTGAAAACATAAAATGTTTCACGTACAGCTAAGGTTTCATAGCAAATGGTTAATAGATTTTGAGACGTTTATGTATAGTTTATGTTTGGGGCTTTTTATTATATATAAACATATTTTTAAAAGGGGGAAGGGTTATTTTCTCTCACAGAGGACCTCTCTGTGGGATGGCTACTAAGGAAAAAGTCTCAAGGATTCACCCTAACCAGCTAGCGCATGTTAAGAAGAGACCCCTTTCCCTGTCTATGCTAAGGTTTTAGAACACGTTGCTAACACATTTTGAAAGTACACATTTTAGCCTAGTGTAATGCAGCTGCAGCACTGTGATACTGCACCCCATATCTGCCATAATAATATTGTGATATGATGACATAATTATGATGCATTTTGTACAAGATAAGTCAGGTGAGGTGTCATTGGAAAAAGTTATGATTTTCTGAATAGGATTATCCTATTTGTATGCATGTATCATTTTTGTACCTGAAATTATGAATATTGACTAGGGATCTGCATTTCAAATGGGCTTATTCTGGAAAACACCTACAGCCAGCTTTTCAGGTACAACAATAAAGAAGCCAGTCAGGGCTAATGGCCCATCAGCAAAGACAATGGACTGTAGAATAGCTTACCCTTCCAGTGGGCATTTTGGCTAGCCTATAAGCAATAGCTGCTATAACTCTACAAGGACATGTGACCAGATCACATGTCTCTGGAGTCCATCTTGGGATGTCAGTATTTTTCCACAAACTGGTCTGGGAACCAAGTTTTGAAACAAAGGGTTCCCACCCTAGGCTAATGCTATATAAGGCAGGGAGTGACATCATCTTGTTTTCTTCGCTCCCAACAAAAGAAGATACCTGGAAACACCTGAGAAACAGACTGAATTGGGGGAAGTGCTGGATCCAGGCTAAAGGGATTTCTAGCCTATGTAGGAAACATCTGGGAATTCCAAGCTCCAAAGCAAGGGTAGCTTGTGCCTTAATTCACAAAGTCTACCTGTACCATCAGTTAGATTGGATATGAATAGCAGATTCTCACTATATGTAGTATATTAAACTCAGGTTGCATTTTTGTTTATTTGCTAGGTAATCTGCTTGCTATCACTTAAAATCTATTTTTTGTTTTAATCCATAGCAATGAGCTTTGACTGGAGTGCTTGGGGAAAATCTCCACTTGGTTACTACAAGCGTGCATTGTCCTCTTCATACTGAGGGAGAGGTGGACTGGGTATTACACTCATATACTGGCCAGATTTGACCAGGGCAGAATGGTACTGCTCTGGGGTCTTAGGATGGGAAGCTGGTGGTTAGAGAATCCACGTGTAACTGCAGTTGGGTATGTCCCTACCTGTGTGAATGCTGGTGAAAGTGCAAGCCGGAGGACTTTGCAGCTTGTCACAGCAGCACAGTGCGAGAGGGAGCCCAGGTTGGTGGGTCAGACGGCTCAGTGGTACCCCAGTTCCAGGTGGCACCCTGGGGAGAGCCTGTCACAAGCAGCATTAACAATACTGAGTATATTTTTTCCAAAAAATCCCTGCTGTAGATAAGGCCTTGAAGTGCCTCCTCGGGTTTTTAGGAAACATCATGACTGTGGCTGAGACAGAGTCAAGAATTTATTGTGAGAAAACTGACAGCTCAAGAAAGGAGCTATATAAAAATGTACTTAAAGTGAAAGGGCTTCTTTCTCAGTGCCTGAATTTGAAGTATCAATGAAATGTCAGAGTACTTGAATAATTAAAGTGGTGTAAAGAGATGTAATTGCAAGACTTGCAAAGACAGCACACAAAGCTGTCTCATTAGGAGGATAAGCTGAACTCTTAGTGGCATTACAAGTCAAAGAGTGAAAAATGCACCAGAGTATTTAAAATTGAGTAAGTGAATGGTTTATGTGTAGACTGAACACAAAGACAGTGGGCTGCAGAACTATTACTAGACAAAAGCTGCATGTTACAGGTCTTAGGCTACGAAACAGGATGATAAACTACAAGGATGTTGGAAATAACCTGCAAGAAATACAGCTTGAACATTCAAAGGGGCAGCAGCAGGTTATAAGTAATATTTAAAAACAAACCAAGTATCCTTAGCTGTATAACTAAACACCACCTCCGATTATTAAGACTGTGTTTGTTCGTATTTGTTTTTTGAGGTTTAAGTTTACTTCCCCAGACATATATACCGTTTATTCACTTTTTCCCCACTTCATCTTGGAGACAGAAAATAAAGTCTGATCAGTTTCAATTTCACTCTATGGTAGCACAATGCTACAATGTTTGAGTTGCAAACACTGCAGGGAAATGCCTAAAATTATTTTAATAATAAAAATATGTTTCAAACCCAATATTAGACACAGGAACGATCAGAGATATCCCCCTCCCATTAACCCAGAAGCTAAATATTTGGTAAACTACCTGCCATCATCCTTTAACACTTTAGAGAGACATGCATGGTTTGGCTGCAGTGCTCCATTTTGACAGCTAAATGGAAATGGAGACTGCAATAGAAATGTTTGGCACAGTCTTCCAAGGCACTTGGTTCTGCCCTGTTCTGCTGCAGGAAGCAGCTGCAGATCTGTTACCATCTTACCACTGTGTGATGGTGCCTTTGGCACTAGATCCTGCAACTGGATCCCTGGGCAGCCACTTATAGCCACATGAAGTCCAGCTGAAGTAAATGAAGCTCCAAATGGGTTCAAAGTTGGCTTGCACTGATCTGATTGGAGGACTGGGACCTTGGATAGAGTCCATGTTGGAGTAAGGTCTCATCCTACTTCCACTGATGCTGATGGGGACTTTTGCCACTGACTTCCAATGGGAGGAAGCTCAAAGCCTTGAAATGCAGTAAACAGAAGTTAACATTACTGCATATACTGACATAACCTGGGAGATTTTGACAAAAATATTTAATATACTTCTGTGTCCACATCATTTTGGAAATTACTACTAAGGAATTGTAGCTGTCTGAAAATTATTTGACCACCATTAGAGCCATCCTTGTTATAACATGCTGAAGTACTTGGCTTCTGAGAGAGAGTCTTTTTTATCAGATAAAGTGCCTTTAATTTACATTATTTTGCTAAATGTGATTGGGCACCCTGGCTTTTTTCCCCTGTTGCTATAGTTCCATCACATCTGTTAGGAGTAACTCTTTTAATTGCATCAGTTAGGCTTACGTAAAAGAGTATTTTAATGATACAAAAACTTGTGTAAAGCACAGTCTGAAGTCTGGCTGAAGAAGAACCTCACATCCAAACCCTCCCTCCCGCCCCTCCAACTTAAAAGTTCCCTGTGCTATAATTCGCAAAAAGAAAAGGAGTACTTGTGGCACCTTAGAGACTAACCAATTTATTTGAGCATGAGCTTTCGTGAGCCACAGCTCACTTCTCATTCTATGCACTCATTATCCATTGTTAGCAGAGGAACTGCACTTCTTGTTTAAAAATGCAGGTTCCCTTGCTTCTCAGACACCAGGAAACACAATAAGTGGTTTAATTACATGTCTAAAGCCTTTTGATACTCATCTCTGGAACAAAAGAAACAAAAAAGTGACCACATAATATATTTGCTAGATGGTGCATTACAGTAAGTGCAAACTATATTAAGATGGCAAGTTCAAAGCTTGTGCCAGTTTAATGATTAATGTTTCAAGTAGAGTTAATCTATAAAATATGTTTAGATGTAAAAGTTAACATAAGTCCAAATAAAACAAATTTCTGATTGACACCTTTGACTGGAGCAGTTTGCAAGCTGCAGGCATACACACAAACTTTCCAGACAGAGATGCTTTCTTGTGTAAGAAAAGTAATTTTCTTTCCACATAGTAAAATGAAGTGAAGTTTGTGCTAGTCAGGCATTTCTTTGTTTTATAACCTCTACTGTCACAATTTTTTTAATACAACCCAAACTGTGTGTAAACAAGACAGTTTTGTTAACATTCAATCTACAACAGAGTTGTCAATGAAACAAATTAAAACATGATATTGAGTTGCTGTTTCATGACATTGCATCACAACATAATGATGTTGCATTGCCTTGTCACTGTGATATGAGCTATTTTAGGAGTTAGCTAGATTTTGGCTAGGGTCTTGCTATTGTAAGACTGGACTGAGTGGATTACCATATTTGTTGGTTGAAGCTTCCTGGAATAGAGAAACTGGTGTCTGTACAGTGGTGGTGCTGTTTCGTAATTACAGCATATAAATCAAACACAGCACCATTCATCCCAAGGAAGTCAAAGTGCTTTATAAACTAATTCATTAACTCCACAGTGCTCTTTATCCTCCATTGTAATGCAGCCACATCTGGAGTGAAATACAGGTCACAGTTTAAGATATGGTGGGGATGGGGAGGATTCAGTGGGAGAAGTGGTTGGCCATTGTATGGGGAGAGTAACAAGTTCTCTGGAGCTGCCAGTCTAAAAGAGACATTAGTTAACAGGGAGTACAGTACTCAATTTTCAAAACATTTGTAATTGTTATTCCTGAACAAAATATCCTCAGGGTCTTTGAAGGCCCTAGTCCTCACTGATGATGGAACCCATATTTAAGATGAAATTTTAAGCACTGGCTTGAGTTAGTATGCAAAAATGGCATCTGAAAAAGTTCCCTGATGAATACACCAGATTTTCATGCTCAGATATTTCAAAACAACCAAAGTTTTATCTAAACTTTATGCACACATATAAAATCTCCAATTTTGCCTCCTCAATTTTATCTAATACAGCTACCATGCTACCACACAATAATAGTCTCCCAATTAAATCAGAGCTGCTAAATTAGGTCAGACTTAACATTTTTGTTGTTCCAAGAAATATTACCTCTTTTAGATAAGAGATGGAAAAGTTTGCCCCTACAGCCACATGTTCCAAGTACTATGGATATGCATACAAAATAATTTTTCATAGGATAAATAATTATGATCCACTTTACACTGGGCATCTTGTTTTATCTTTCCATAGGACTGCTAAATGGCGAGTTCTTCAGTCAGGAACTATACTGTACCTAGCTAAACATTTGGCAAACTGAATCAATGTCTGGATATTAAAACATGGAAATAAGTTAGCTCCCTTTGTTCAAAAGGGAGTGGGGAAGAGCCAATATGAAGGAGGAGGGGGAGGGAAAAAGGAAACAAGATTTGTTTCCTGGCTTAATGTTTCTAGTTCAAGCATTGACTTACATTGACCTGCCTCACAGAACGGAAGCTTTGCCATACTGATGCAGAAAGGATTACTTTCCCATGGTTTTCAGTTGCCAGTCTTCAAAATAAAGTTCCTTTCTCCTTTAAGGCTCTCAATAATTCTTTTGTTTCAGCATCAGAATGGCCATACTGGGTCAGACCAAAGGTCCACACAGCCCAGTATCTGGTCTTCTGACAGTGGCCAGTGCCAGATGCTTCAAAGGGAATGAGCAGAACAAGGCAATTTATCCAGTGATTTATCTTATCAAGTCCCAGCTTCTGGCAGACAGAGGTTTAGGGACACCCAGGGGATGCGTTTGCCTCCCTGACCATCTTGGTAAATAGCCATTCATGGACCTATCCTCCATGAATTTACCCAATTTTTATTTGAAGGCAATTATACTTTTGGCTTTCACAACATACCCTGACAACAACAAGTTCCACAGCTTGACTGTGTGTTGTGTGAAGAAGTACTTCTTTATGTTTATTTTAAACCTGCTGCCTATTAATTTTGTTGGATGACCCCTGGCTCATGTGTTATGTAAGGGGTAAATAACACTATTCACTTTCTCCCACCGGTGCAAGTAAGCCGGTGTGGTCATAACCTGTACCATTAAGACATTTATTGCTGGTATGCCGTACTGGAAAGACACGTTCAGTATCTGCTGAATACCACAGGACTCTCCCAGGAACCACAGTGGTGAAAGGAGCAGAACGTGGGGCCGCCAGGTGGCCCCACATTGGCAGCCCCTCCGGCATGGCTGTACCACCCACAGCTCTGCCCCCAGCCCTCTCATACAGCTGCGTCTCCTGTCTAGAGTCTGTACAGCCCTGCTGGAGGACAGGGCTCGGAGCAGTACAGCTGCTCCAGAGGAGCTGCTGGCATGGGGCTGCCTGGCCACCCCACATTCTACTCCTTTCACCGCTGTGGTTCCCGGGAGAGCCCATGCTGTTCAGCAGATACTGATTTCTATTTGCGGCTATCCACATCTGCGGGCATAAATTTGTATCCACATAAGGCTCTAGTCACGGAACATTTTGTGTGTGTTTGTGGGGGACGGGGGCCATGGTCAGTACCATACCAGTAAGAGTTAAAATCTATTTGCACCACTGCTTTTTCCACACCATTCATGATTTTATAGAACTCTATCATTCTCCCCTTAGTTGTCTCTTTTCTAAGATGACTAGTCAGTCTTTTTAATATCTCCTGATATGGAAGCTGTTCCATACCCCCTAATCCTTTTTTGTTGCCCTTCTCTGTATCTTTTCCTATTCTAATATCTCTTTTTGGAGATGGGCAACCAGAACTGCAGACAGGATTCAAGGTGGGTGCATATATAGTAGAATCTCAGAGTTACAAACCAGAGTTACGTACTAACCAGTCAACCACACACCTAATTTGGAACCAGAAGTACGCAATCAGGCAGGAGCAGAGACAAAAGAGAAAAAGTAAATACAGTACACTGTTAAACATAGACTACTAAAACAATAAAGGGAAAGTTTAAAAAAAAGGATTTGACAAAGTAAGGAAACCGTTTCTGTGCTTGTTTCATTTAAATTAGGATGGTTAAAAACAGCATTTTTCTTCTGCATGGTAAAGATATAAAGCTATATTAAGTCAATGTTCAGTTGTAGACTTCTGAAAGAACCACCATAACGTTTTCTTCACAGTTACGAACAACCTCCATTCCCAAGGTGTTCGTAACTCTGAGGTTCTACTGTATAGCAGATTTATACAGCAGCACTATGATATTCTCTCTTATTATCTATCCCTTTTGTAATGATTCCTAATATTCTGCTAGTTGTTTTGACTGAGATTGCGCACCTAGCATATGTTCTCAAAGTACTATCCACAGTGACTCCACAATCTCTCTCTCGAGCGGTAATAGTTAATTTAAACCCCATTATTTTGTATGTGTAGTTGGGATAATGCACATTGGAAAACATAACTTTACATTTATCAACATTGAATTTCATCTGCCATTTTGTTGCTCAGTCACCCAGTTTTGGGAGAGCTCTAACTCTTCGCAGTCAGCTTTGGACTTCACTATCCTGAGTAATTTTGTATTGCTTGCAAATTTTGCCACCTCACTGTTTACCCCCTTTCCCAGATTGTTTCTGAGTACGTTGAACAGCACTGGTCCCAGTATATCTCCGTGGGGGACCTCACTATTTACCTCTCTCCACTGTGAAAACTGATCATTTATTCCTACCCTTCGTTTCCAGTCTTTTAACCAGTTACTGATCCATGAGAGGACCTTCCTTCTTATCTCATGACTGCCTACTTTGCTTAAGAGCCTTTGGTGTGGAACTTTCAGAAAGCTTTTGACAAGGTCCAAGTACACTATATCCATTGGATCATCATGTTTGTTGACCCTCTCAAAGAAGATTGGCGAGGCATGATTTCCCTTTATAAAACCCATGCTGACTCCCCCAACATATTGTGTTCATCTGTGTGTCTGATAATTCCATTCCTTACTACAGCTTCAACCAATTTGCCTGGTTAGGCTTACTGGCCTGTAATTACCAGGATTGCTTCTGGAGCCTTTTAAAATAAAGGCTTTTAAAATCCATCAGCATTACATTAGCTATCTGCCAGTCATGTGGTACAGTGGCTGACTTAAGCTATTTACGTACCACAGTTAACCGTTCTGC